AAAAGCCATAATTTGATAATTTTTTCATCTTACTGAAAAATACCTTCTTTCTCCAACTATTTAATCCTATGTGCATATATGCATGCATGCATGCATGCTGTAGGCTGGATTTGGTCCATAGGGCACAGTCTGCTAGCCTTTGATATCAACTATACAAAAAAATGTTAAATTACTAATAGATAACAGTGATTGCATATTTGTGTACCTGAGACAGTGCATTTACTTACCCGGTAAGGTGGGTGCTATTATTTCTTTTCCCTCTGTATTTCCTTTAACAGATAAGTAACCCAAGGCTAGATTAAATAATTTGCCAGTAAGTGATAGAATTCAAATGCTAGGCTTTCTAATCCCAGATCTTGTCTTCTTAATTTCTAGCAATGTTGAAAATTTTGGCAGTATCCTCTATTTGTGATTGAGTTTAGGCTAATATTTTACAAAGGAAAAAAAGCACAAATGATTTGTCTACTTCGTTTTTACAGGGAATTCACCCTACCTTATGAGCACAGTCAGTGTGATATGGCAGACCCTTCTTAAGTAGCTAACAAAAGCACTCCACTTACAAACCTAGGTGACACCTTCTCTCTTCACATCTGATTCCTGACTGTAATGCTTCCCAGCTCAAAGCATCCCCTGTGCTGCTGTGTTAGCCTTACCCATCATTGTTGCAGTTTCTCCTTTCCTGAGAGTGTCCGTTATTCTTGTGCCTCTTTTCTTTGTGGAAACTGAACTTCCTGTTTGCTGTGCTGAGTAGCTACAGAGCTAGAAAAGGAAGTTGCTTGCTTTTGTTTGTGTAGAGATGGGGTTGGGAAAGCAAATGAAAGGGGAATGAGTGATGGGAATTTTTAGCTCTGTTCAATGCTTATGCAGTTTTCATTCTTGACAGCACTTCCAGTGTTCATTTCATTCTTTACTCAGTTGTCTCTCAGTGCCTTCGGCAAGGAAGTCTCTTGACTGATTGTTTAAGTGACAGCATCTGTGCATGAGACTAAGGCATCTGTCTGTGTTTCTGTGTTAAGGTTACAAGAACAGCAAATCGCCCAATAGCTGCTGGAGACATTTCAGCTTTTCAGTCCTTGGTTTTTCTCGGGGGACAGCTGACCTTGGCACTGGGTGTTCTTCTGTGTCTGAATTACTACAGGTATATTAAATTTGTTTTTCATGAGCTGTAAGTTATCACGCATAAATGCAGTAACTCACCACACTGTAAAATCTGCCACAAGAATGCTTTCAGCCATCCAGGCATGGTGGCACACACCTAGTAATCCCAGAATTCTGGGAGGAGACTGAGGCAGGAGGATTTCAAGTTCAACCCTACCCTAGGCAACTTAGCAAATTGGTGAGGCCCTATCTTAACATTTTAAAAATAGGAGGAGAGGTGCTGGGAATGAGAAGGGCCTGGGTTCAATCCCCAGTATTACAAAACAAAACGATGACAACAAAAACCCACCATGCTTTCAGCCAAGAGTTAAAAGATCAGCATTGAAAGTATTCTGAACTATCTTTAGTATTTGCATTTTATGTCCCCTAAGGGACACAGGCACTTGCAAAGGCTAAGTTTGTATACACTGATGTGTATATGTATGTTTTATGCTGGAGGTTATCCCCAAAGTTCGGGAAAAGCTCAAGTAAGTAAACTCATTTTTCAAAAAGAACTGTGTCCTTCCCCTGTGCTATAACTAATCAGTAACAGGCTATGTAACTAATCAGTGACAACGGGGGAAATGGGAACACTCGTTCCTGTATCTCTTAAATAGAGGTATAACTAAGCTTTTGTGCATTAGCTGCCTGTTTACGAAGTGCTTTGAGGAGGAGAAAAAAAAGACGGGGTAGAGGATTGCTGTTAAGCCTGACTGTAGAGGTGAGGCTTACACAGGCCTTGTGCTGACAGCAGGAGTAACTGGAAAACACCCTTGGGAGGTTCTTCCTGGAGGTGCTGTGAGCTGGCCTTCAGGTACCGAAGAGCATCTTACATTTTCCATGTCTGCCTTTTCTTTTTTTTTTTGGTACCGGGGATTGAACTTGGGAATTTGGCACTTACGAGGCAGGCAGTGGAACCACTGAGCTAAATTCTCAGCTCATGCCTGCCTTTTCTTGAGAACTAACACCCATTGTGAATAAAAGAAGGACCTCTTGACCCCAGTTCACTTGTAGGAGGTCTTGTCTGCTAGACACTGAGGGTTTCAGATAGTTTAAAGTGGCTGTGTGTGGTGATGACCAGGCTAGTCTGGAGCTTGAGCTCAACTGAGCAGGCTGGACCCTGGGTTTCAGTCTTGGCTGTGCTACAGAAAAGCTGTGTGACAATAGCAAATTACTTCATCTCCTTATCTGCAAAAAGATGTAACCAGAATAAAACTACTTGTGTCCTGGGGTCATTGTGAAGATTGTAATGAACTAACAAATGTAAATCACTCATCGGTATGTGTCAGCTGTTATTTTGTTTGATTGTTTAGTCAGTGTAAAGTATTTTTCTATTCATCCTTTGTAATAAGGAAAGCCAAAGTCCAGGGATAGAACAAAAACCATTATTTAAGATTTTAAAAATTTCCAAATAGTATTTAGTGATTCCCAAGTGACAGTGACATTAATCCTGCTTTTCCTGTTTTTAGTATAGCTCTGGGAGCAGCATCGTTACTTCTCGTCATCACCTACCCCCTGATGAAGAGAATCACATACTGGCCTCAGCTAGCCTTGGGTGAGCTTCGACGTACTCAAACTGTGCTTTTCTATACCATGTATAATATGTATATATATATTATATATGATATATATATATATGTAGAACATCGAGAAATTTTCCAAACCAAGAATATTCATAAAAGAGGCCAATTAGTCATTCTTTGCTAAAAAATCTTGCATATCTTTCTATGATTATCATTACAGTATTTTAGAAGTGCTTTTTAAAGATATAGATGTGTGACGAAGAGAGGGTTGGTCAGGGTGCCCCGAAGAACATGGGCACAGGGTAGGAAGCACTGCTGGTATGGACAACTCCCCCCTTGTGTGCTGCCTTCTTAGATCTCCTAGGGAGAAGTCTGTCTCGGGTTTTCCTTTATTTTAACAGCATTAGGCCCGCCTCCCAGTCTCTCCGTTAGTAAATTGTAAATGACTACAAGATAAACATCCTTTATATGTGGCCCAGCATCTGTGCAGGTATTTAATACAATATTTGCTGGTGAAAAGAGAGGTGGATAGGTGAGTAAACTTTGTTATAGAAGTATGTGCTCCTTGGCTCTCTTATTCTATTTCTAGAAGACTGTAGAATAGTCCTAAAGTTATTCTCATGACACTTTTCTAGTAAAAGAACAAAAACGGTCCAGGAAACTGATGAGAGCCTGGCTTGTGGGAAAGTTGTAGTGGAATGTTTATCCTTTCCTAAGATGCTTCCATTGGAAGCTCTTTTCCTTTCCAGCTCTTTTCATTGTTAAAAAAAAGTAAAAATGTATATTTTTAGCTGACCTGGAAATCTTTTGGTAAGAGAAACATATGCATTTCCAGACTACAAGATAATATTCAAAAACTTGTATATTTAACTAAAACATTTATTGAACCTCTACTTTTACATTGTGCTGGGAATTGCACTGAGTACTTGGAGAAAAAAAGGGCTATAACACATTCACCATCTCTTAAGGAGCTAGAGGAGAAGGCAGCAAGTCTGGAGGCCACTGTAGTATCCTGTGGTGTGACAAATGCCCAGGACCTCAGAGGAGAGGCACTGAGTCAGTGGAGGGCAGCTACCTGGGGATGAGGAGAAAAAGAGTTTAGGAGAGGACATTGGGACACATTGAGTTTAAAATGCCAGTGGGACTCACAAGCAGGGAGGTCCTGCTGGAAGTTCAGTCTCTAGTTTGGAGCCTGCAGGTGTAGATTTGGGAGTTGTCACCATTGTGGGCATTTCCCTATAGTCCTCAGAGGGGATGAGCCTGTAGGATGTGAAAATGTTCCTGTTCATTCATAGATGGAAAGAACACAGGCTTTTGAGCTCCAGCCCCAGCGTCACTATCTGTTGGCTGACCCAAACACCATAGTAGGTGGGATAAATGTTCAGTGAAGCTCCTGTTTACCTCAGCAGGAGATGCTCCTGCTAACTAAACTCAGCCCATTTCCATTCTTGCAAGATGGAACTAATGGGCTGAGAAGAATTAATGGAGCTAGTGGCATGCAGCCCATCAGCCCCCTTCCCTTGGAACCTGCAGTCCACCCACTTCTGTTCCCTCACTGCAGGGCTGACTTTCAATTGGGGTGCACTGCTTGGCTGGTCGGCTGTGAAGGGCTCCTGTGACCCATCTGTGTGCCTGCCTCTCTACTTTGCTGGAGTTATGTGGACCCTGATCTATGACACTATTTATGCCCATCAGGTAAAAAAGAGATAATGTTTTCTAACTTTGGTTTAGGTATTGTTAATTTTATAAGAGCTATTCAATAAGAGCCAAAATAAGGGGAAAATCTTTTTTTCCTAAAAAGAAAGTCACAGTTCCATGGTTCCAGCAAAACAGTTGGGTTTCATGTTTATGTGTTTACCAAAGAGTTCAACTCACTCTATTTTATTTGCAGCATTTAAGTAATATTTACAGTACAATAGGCACTGTTTTAAAGACTTTACATTGTTTTATATACTTTTCAAATACTGATTTAATCCCCATAAGGGCCTGCAAGGAAGGTGTTTTTATTATCCCCATTTTACAGATGAGACAGGTAGAGAAGTGACTTGTCCTCATCACACAGTTAGTAGGTGGCAGGTCTGAGATTCAGACCTGGTCTCCAGAGACTGTGCTTTTACTGCCATGCTCCCCTGTCCCTCTGTGCCACCTCTGACAATTCCATTGGGCAGCTTTCTCATGTAAGGTGGCTAATAAACATTTCCCTTATTTTTATTGACTGCTTGTCATTGTCCCTTCAAGACTGCATAATAATCCGTTGACATGCTGTAATTATTTCAAATTAACAGTATGTCTGTTTTGTCCATTGAAGTTGTTTCTGAGTTTTCATGATTATAAATAGTATTATTCTCATCACGCACACTGCATGAGTATGAGTTTTTCAGGTAAGTACAGTCCTGAGGACAAAATATAGGTACTGGGAAAGACCAGGTAACTAGATGGGAGTCATCATCCAGACGAGCTGTGTAAAGGGTAGGGTTGGAGGGGTGGCAGGGGTAAGTTGGGCTGGAAGTGCCAGTGGATGGATGTGAGTGTGTGCTGAGTGAGCATTTTTATACACTTGTGGTTTCAGCAAGCTTGAAAGTGCAGTATGCAAGAAATTATAGAGATGTGAGAACTCAGAGGCAGAAGGGAACCGTGTGATTGGAACTGAGCTCTAACTCATCCAGTAGGAGTGTTGTTAGGAGTCATAGTACAGTGCCGAAAGAGCACGGCTGGTGGCGATTGAGCTGGGTGAGTTTCTGTAGTTGTGTGTCACCTTGCTTGGCCTGCATGGCCCCTACTCACCAGACAGTTTCGGAATTACTGTCATCTCTCACCTTGTGGTGTAGCTGCCTGTTCTAAAATAGTTAAATAGTAGTGATGGTTATGCACCTTATGACTGCCTTAAATACCACCAAATTGTACATGTCAAAATATGAACTTTATGGTAGGAGAATTACCCGTAAAGCAGTGTTTCTTATTACTTCCTGCTATTAGGACAAAAAAGATGATGCTCTGATTGGCCTCAAGTCCACGGCACTGCTGTTCAGAGAGAACACCAAGTGGTGGCTTGGTGGCTTCAGTGTGGCCATGCTGGGGGCGCTGAGCCTAGCAGGAGTGAGCTGTGCCCAGACCCCACCCTACTATGCTGCTCTCCTCGTCGTTGGAGCCCACTTGGCTCACCAGGTTTGTCCTTTTTCTTCTTTTTCCTTGGCATTGATTATGTAAACAGAATGCTATTTTTCTTTACTAGGCAAGGAACATCTTAGTCAGCTTCTTGCCTTGTTCTGGTTTGAGCTTCCCTTCCTCAGACCCAATTTGTCATGAAAAAGCTGTGTAATTTTAAATAAACAATATAAACCTAAGCCTGGATTTCTCCTTCAGTTTTCCTGGAATTACTTCTCATATATCTGGGAATTTTTCAGTAATGTCAGAAACAATGTCTAAGTTGAGTTGAATTACTTTTTTAAAAAAACCTTTCTTAATGAAATTGAGTTTCTCGCTATGGTTAAAAAATTAATCTTTCAGAAGTTTGATTTCCACTGGCATAGAAAGCAGTGCCAATTAAGATATGAAATGAAATGCTAAATGCGTCAAGGTTCTGCCTAGAAGGCAGGAAATGGGCATTTCAGGTGTTTACCCAGCACTATACTCCTTGCCCCTACAAGCTTCTATTACTGACTTTTAAAATGATTGTCTAATTTTGATTAAATCAGATTAGATGGACTAATTTTGTAGGACTGTTGCTGTTATTTTCTTTGAATAGAACAAACAGATGTTATTGAACCTGTATTTAGCTGATCTACAATTCACAAACTTAATTCATTCCGCAGTTCTGGAAAAGATGGCCATGTTCTTGTTCTTGCGGGAAACATGGCCACAGCTGTATTCATCACCAGATGCAGAGTTTGCACACAAAAACAAAATTTTACCCAACATTTCTGTTTGTGAACCAAATTATAAATAAAAGCATTCATGAACTGAGGTAACACTGTATTTTATACAGATTGTTGTGAAGTACCCAACAGTGTAGGCCAGACTTCTGTCACAGGACGTGAAGGAGACTAGAGCTGGGTAGGCTGTATTTCCTGTGTTGTCCCTTCACCATAAACCCTAAAGGTGTGAATCGGTGGTTCTCTGGATTTCTTTCCAGAATTCCACAGCCTCTCTTTGGCTATAACCTAGATGAACTTGGGCTGTCATCATCAGTTGATTATCGAGGCTGGTAGTGGACATGCACTAGTATTGAAGTACCTAAATATCAGATGGCAGAGGAAGGCAGAAATTATGACAACAATCATAAATATTATAAAACTATGTGAAACCCACCACATTTTATTCTCAGTTGCATTTGTGGTCCTCTGTCCAGTCCTCAGTGCAGTGTTTTAGGATGGGCATGGTCTTCTGATTCCCCAGGGCAGTGTCTGTGAGATATTCTCAGGACTTCCTCAGGGAGAGGAAGATCTCTCTGCAGATCATGGTCTCCAGGTCCCCTTCAAGTGGGGATAGGAGTGAGGTTTAGAATCGCAACAGCATCTTTGGCTGTCACGATAAACTGGGGAAGGGGTCATTTAGTGAATGAGAGCTGGGAATGCTCAGAGTATTCCATTACACCAGACAGCCCTGCACGAGCATCATCCTGCCCAGATGGATTTGTTCTTCCTGAAAGACTACTCTGTAGAACAGAGCTGGCACTTGGTGGTGGGTGTTGCAGGGAGGATGGCTTCGAATCAGTCTGTGTAGGGAAGGGTTTGCTAAAGACAGGGTGAGTGTCCCTTGTCTCAGAGGGTTGGGGCCAGCAGGGTTTTAGGTTTGGAGTTTTTTGGGGTTTTTTTAATATTCATATATACATAATAAGCTGTCTCAAGGATGGTACCCAAGTAAACACAAAATATATTCATGTTTCATGCACCTTATTCATATAGTCTGAAGGCAGTTTTATGTAACATTTTTATTGCACCTCATTTTGGCTGTGTTGTCACATGAGGCCAGGTGTGTAACTTTCCACTCGTGCTTTGCTGACAGCTCTCATGTCAGTGCTAGATCTTGGAGCATTTTGGATTGGGGGTAAAGGGTGCTACTCCTGTTGGAGAATTGAGTGGCATGGATTGCCTCCCAAAGCAGTTGCACATCCCTCCGCCAGAAGCTCCTAATCCAAACACACCTTAGCTGATTCCAGTGACAGATATGTAGATTTTTCCTGCTTGGGAGGCAGTTTGGGGTACAGCAGGGGCTCCCACTTACTTACAATTCCATAACTAATTAACTGTTTCTGTCTGCATTGGTTTCTTTATCTGTGATGCCCCAGGGTCCAGATGTCCTAATGCAGCACTTTGGTCTTCCCTTACAGATCCACACTCTGGACATCCACAGTCCTGCAGACTGTTGGGATAAATTCACCTCCAACCGAACAATAGGAATAATCCTCTTTTTAGGAATTGTCCTCGGAAATTTGTGGAAAGAAAAGAAGACAGATGAAGCAAAGGAAAACAAAGATAGCAGAATAAAAAATTAGCAAATAACATTTATCTAGGCATTATGAAAACAAAGCTTTATGAAACACTCAGGGCTTGTGACCATGATTTTTGAATAAGCATATTCAGAATAAGAATATTGTGTTACAATATGTTACAGAAGTAAGGACAAGAAGATGAAAATTTAAAGTATATTTGCCTGGATTTTATTTATTTATTTTTTTGTATTA